CAATTGCAAGATCAACTATAAAGGTAACCAAACTGAAGACTGGAGTTGAATATCAGTTTAGAGTAGCTGCTGAGAATAGATATGGAAAGAGCCCCTCTATTATATCACCTTCTGTAATTGCACAGTACCCCTTCACAGAACCAGCTACTCCAGGAACACCAGTTGTTTCTGCAGCAACTAAAGATAACATGGTGGTAGAATGGAAGCCTCCATCTAACAATGGAGGTAGCCCAATCTTGGGTTACCATTTGGAGCGAAAAGAAAAGAATAGTCTAATGTGGACAAAACTCAACAAGTTGCTCATCCCTGAACCTCGTTTTAAAACAACAGAGCTGGAAGAAGGCATTGAATATGAATTTAGAGTTTATGCTGAAAACATTGCTGGTCTTAGTCCTGCTAGCAAAGTTTCAGAGAGCACAGTTGCTAGAGATCCATGTGATTCACCGGGGACTCCTGAGGCTATTGAAATTACAAGAAACCATGTTACACTCAAATGGACTCGACCCCAATATGATGGAGGAAGTGCTATTACCGGCTATGTCATTGAAAGAAAGAAGTACCCAGATACACGTTGGATGAAAGCCAGTTTTACCAATATCATTGAAACTCAGTTCACTCTCACTGGTCTCACTGAAGACTGTGTCTATGAATTCAGAGTTGTTGCTAGAAATGGTGCTGGTATCTTTAGTCGTCCTTCAGAGAGTACTGGACAAATAACAGCGAAAGATGAAATTGAAGCCCCTGAAGCTAGTATGGATCCGAAGTTCAGAGATCTAACAGTTGTTCATGCTGGTGAATCATACGAAATTGAGGCTGACTATAGTGGCAAGCCCCTACCGGAAGTTATTTGGTTAAAAGATGGAAAGGAGATTGACAAAACAACACCAAGAATGGAGGTTAAGACCACACTTACACATACCATCCTGGCAGTAAAAGAGTGTATCAGAGTGGATGGTGGTCACTTTACTCTCAAACTGGTTAACGTGGGTGGGGTTAAAATGATTCCAGTTAATGTTAAAGTATTGGACAGGCCTGGGCCTCCAGACGGACCATTGGAAGTCAAGGGAGTAACAGCTGAAAAATGTTATCTTCACTGGAGCCATCCTTCACATGATGGTGGAGCAAGTATCTCCCATTATATAATTGAAAAGAGAGAAACAAGTCGTTTGTCCTGGACCATGGTTGAACCAAAAATTCAGGCCATCAGCTACAAAATTACCAAACTTCTGCCAGGAAATGAATATATTTTCAGAGTTACAGCTGTGAACAAATATGGTGTTGGAGAGGCACTTGAATCTGAACCTGTAGTTGCACGCAATCCATTTACTACACCCAGTGCTCCCTCTACCCCTGAAGCCGGTGCAATCACTCGAGACTCAATTGTGCTTACTTGGGAAAGGCCAGAAAATGACGGAGGGGCAAGCATTGAAGGCTATGTGCTTGAAAAACGTGACAAAGATGGCATACGATGGGGAAAATGCAACAAGAAGAGGTTGACTGATCTGAGGTTCAGATGTACTGGTCTAACTGAGGGTCACTCATATGAATTCCGTGTCTCAGCTGAAAATGCTGCTGGTGTTGGAAAACCCAGTGCAGCAACTGAATATATTAAGGCTTGTGATGCCACCTACCCACCTGGCCCCCCTAATAACCCAAAGGTCACAGACCATTCCAGCACAACTGTTTCTCTCTCATGGAGTAGGCCAATTTATGATGGTGGAGCATCCATTACTGGCTACATGGTAGAAGTAAAAGAGGTGTCAGATGACGAGTGGGTGACTTTTACTCCATACACAGGAGTTCAGACTACAAATTACACCGTCAAAAAACTGAAGGAGAATCTAGAGTATAATTTCCGTATCAGTGCTATTAATTGTGAAGGTGTTGGGGAGTATATTGAGTTGCCAGGCAGTGTGATTGCTGCTGAGAAACTTGAGGCTCCTGAAATTGAGCTTGATGCAGATCTAAGGAAAATGGTGAATGTCCGTGCTACTGCAACGCTCCGTTTGTTTGTGCCAATTAAAGGAAAGCCTGAGCCTGAGGTAAAGTGGTCCAAGGCAGATGGTACCTTGAATGAGCGCGCACAGATTGATGTCACAACCTCATACACAATGTTAGTCATTGAGAATGTTGACAGGTTTGACACTGGAAAATATGTTCTGACTCTTGAGAATCTCAGTGGTTCAAAATCAGCCTTCATCAATGTTAGAGTGCTAGACTCACCCAGTGCGCCAACTAACCTGGAAGTTAAAGATGTAAAAAGAAACTCTGTTTCTCTTTCCTGGGAACCCTCTCTCATTGATGGTGGAGCTAAAATATCACACTACATTGTGGAAAAAAGAGAACAGAAAAGAATGGCATTTACTAGTGTATGTTCAAATTGTGTGCGGAACTCCTACATTATTTCGGATCTACAAGAAGGTGGCAGGTATTATTTCCGTGTTCTTGCGGTGAATGAGCTTGGAGTTGGCTTGCCAGCATCCACAGAGCAAGTGAAAGTTTCTGAGGCTCCTTTACCTCCTGGCAAAATTATTGTAGTGGATGTGACCAAACATACCGTTACACTTTCTTGGGAGAAGCCTGACCATGATGGTGGCAGCAAAATCACCAGCTATCGTGTGGAAATGCAACCAAAGGGGGAGGAGAAATGGACAGTTTGCAGTGATTCAAAAGCACTAGAAGCTACTATTGATGGACTCACAACTGGAGAGGAATACTCCTTCAGAGTCACTGCTGTAAATGATAAGGGCAACAGTGATCCTAAACCTTTGGCAAGTCCAGTTGTAGTCAAGGACATAACACTTGAGCCAACCTTTAACATACTTTTCAATACTTATAGTGTAAAATCTGGAGATGATCTGAAGATTGATGTACCATTTAGGGGCAGACCTCAGCCAGAAGTATCTTGGAAAAAGGATGGTCACAGTCTAAAACAAACAACTAGAGTCAATGTTATTAATTCTAAGACCTCATCCAAAATATTTATCAAGGATGCAACCAAGGATGATGTAGGGAAATACATGATCACCTTAACAAACTCAGTTGGTACTAAGACTGCGGAAATCTCAGTTATAATCTTAGATAAGCCTGGTCCACCAAGCAACATAAAGTTGGATGAGGTGAGTGCTGATTTTGTATGTCTCTCATGGGATTCCCCATCTTATGATGGTGGCTGCCAAATCAACAACTATGTGGTGGAGAAGAGAGACACAACTACAACTACATGGCAGATAGTATCTGCCACAGTTGCCAGAACGTCAATTAAAGTCACACGTCTAAACCAAGGGACGGAATATCAGTTCCGTATTGCTGCTGAAAATCGTTATGGCAAGAGCCATTCCATTGACTCTGCTCCTGTTGTTGCCCAGTATCCATTTGAGCCTCCAGGCCCACCTACTAATCTTCATGTTGCCACTGCAACCAAGTATGGCATGCTTGTTGTTTGGGGAAGACCAGCTAGTGATGGTGGTAGTGCGGTTACTGGTTATCACATTGAATGCAAAGACCAAAGTAGCATCCTTTGGACTAAAGTCAGCAGAGGCTTGATTGCTGAAAATCAGTTCAAGATGACTGGAATTGAAGAAGGTCTGTTTTATCAGTTCAGAGTTTATGCTGAGAATATTGCTGGCATTGGACCTTGCACTAAACCTTGTGAACCTGTTGCTGCGAGAGACCCATGCCAGTCCCCTCGTAACCTCAGAGTCACTAATATTACTAGGACTTCTGTTTCTCTCTTCTGGGAGAAGCCTGAATATGACGGTGGAATAAAGATTACTGGCTATATTGTTGAGCGTAGAGAACTTCCAAATGGCCGCTGGTTAAAATGCAACTTTGCCAACCTCCAGGATACTTACTTTGATATCACAGGTCTCACAGAAGATGTCCAATATGATTTCCATGTTATTGCCAGGAATTCAGCCGAACAACTGAGCTCACCTTCAGAAAACACAGGGCCTGTCACAGTGAAGGATGACGTAGATGCGCCCGCAATTACTATGGACGATAAGTTCAGACAACTTGTTGTTGTCAAAGCAGGAGAGATAATCCAAATTGACGCTGACATTTCAGGACGACCTCTTCCTGTCGTTTCTTGGTCTAAGGATGGTAAAGACATTGACACCAAGGCAAGATGTGAAGTGACAACCACTAATTTTGCAACCACTCTTATCGTCAGAGATGCTATGAGAAAGGACTCAGGCCAGTATGCTTTAACACTGCATAATGTGGCTGGAACAAGGGCTGTGGCTGTTAATTGCAGAGTACTTGACAGGCCTGGACCTGCCTCAGGTCCTTTGGCTGTTTCAGGCCTCACTGCAGAAAAATGCACTATAACATGGGGCCCGCCTCAAGAAAATGGAGGAGCTGAAATCATGCATTACATTGTGGAAAAGCGAGAGACCAGTCGTCTTGCATGGACTTTAGTCTATAATGACATGAAAGCCACAACTTGTAAAGTTACCAAACTGCTGAGAGGAAATGAGTACATCTTCAGAGTGAGAGGAGTTAACAAGTATGGAGATGGTGAGCCCCTTGAGAGTGATGCTGTCAAAGCAGTGGATCCATTTACTGTTGCTGCTGCTCCTGCTAATGTCCAAGTGACTGCAGTAACAAGTGAAGCTATGACCATCTGCTGGGATCGTCCAATTTCTGATGGTGGAAGCAGCATTTCTGGCTATGTCATTGAGAAGAGAGAAAAAACTGGACTCCGTTGGTGCCGTGTCAATAAAAAGCCAGTTTATGACCTACGAGTAAAGGCCTCAAACCTTCGACAGGGTTGTGAGTATGAATACAGAGTGTTCGCAGAAAATGCAGCAGGCCTCAGTGCCCCAAGTATCTGTTGCCCATTAACAAAAGCTGAAGACCCACAGTTCCTGCCTTCACCTCCAGCTAAGCCTAAAATTATTGACTCAACTAAAACTACAGTGACTCTGTCATGGAACAAACCTCTCTTTGATGGTGGGGCACCTGTGACAGGTTACAGAGTAGAGTACAGGAAGAGTATGGATGATGAATGGTTTGTTGGAGTGCAGAACATCAAAAACACAGAGTACACAGTTGTGGGTTTGACCTCAGGGGTTGAATATGTGTTTGTTGTAAAATCCATCAATAAGATTGGAGCCAGTGAACCTAGCCCTGAGTCAGACAGACAAGTGGCCAAAGAAAGAGAAGAAGAGCCAATGTTTGAAATAAGCAATGATATGAGAAAAACTCTTATTGTCAGAGATGGCAGTTCATTTACCTTGAAGGTTCCATTTAAAGGCAAACCTATTCCTAATGTCTCATGGACAAAGCCTGATGTTGATCTTCGAGTCCGTGCTGTTATTGATACTACAGACACGTTCACTGCCATTACTCTGGAGAAAGCTACTCGTAACGACTCTGGTAAATACACTGTGACACTGTCCAATGTGGCAGGCACAGCAACATTGACACTCAGTGTCAGGGTGCTTGACTCACCTGGACCTCCAACACATATTGGAGTCAAGGATGTAACAAAGACTTCTGCTACTGTCACTTGGGATACCCCTGAAAATGAAGGAGGAGGACCAGTAAAAAACTACCTTGTTGACATTCGGGAAGCCAGTAAAAAAGGTTGGACGAGGCTCACTGATACATGTCATAGACTCACATACAAAGTCTCTGATCTGCCTGAGGGAGAAGTCTTCTACTTTAGAGTGACCGGTGAGAACGAATATGGCATCGGTGTCCCTGCAGAAACCAAGGAAGGAACCAAAATCTCTGGTATGTGCATAACTGTACACTAGCAAAACATACTTAAGTATTTTAAGTCCATAAACTTATGTTTATTCTTATATTATCTTTCAGAAAAACCAAGCCCACCAGACAAGCTGGCAGTGACGGACGTTACCAAAGAGAATGTTACTCTGGCTTGGGCAAAACCTGAACAAGATGGAGGCAGTAGAATTACAAGCTACCTTTTAGAGGCTTTGGAAAAAGGTCAAGACAAATGGGTGAAGTGTGGAGTCACCAAGTTTATCCACTTGACAGTTTCAGGCCTGAGGGAAAATGCTGAATACTTCTTCAGAGTGAAAGCTGAAAATGCTGCTGGATTCAGTGATGCAAAGGAAATGCTAAACCCTGTAGCAGTAAAAGATCAGCTTGGTAAGTAACACACCAGAAAGCAGAACAATGTGTACATATTATGTTTACTGATTTTTCTGTTTGTTAACACAGAGCCACCAGAGGTCAATATGAAGGACATCCCACACAATACTGTTTATGTAAAAGCAGGGTCAACACTTAAGTGTGAGATCCCATTGACTGGCAAGCCCCTGCCTAAGGTCACACTTTCGAAAGATAATATAGTGCTTAAATCAACAATGAGGTTCAATTCTGAGGTCACCGCAGACAGCATTAAGATCTTGCTTCGCGAAAGCATTGCTGGAGATTCAGGCCGCTATAATATTACAGCTGCAAATTCAAGTGGCACAACAAAGTCTTTTGTCAATATTGTAATTCTGGACAGACCAAGTGCTCCTCTTGGACCTGTTGAGCTCTTTGATGTCACGGAAGACAGCGTTAGCTTGAAGTGGCTTCCACCTGCCTATGAGGGCGGCAGCCCCATCACAAATTATATTATCCAAAAAAGGGAGACAACCACAGCTAACTGGATGGATGTCTCATCTGCTGTAGCTCGCTGCACCATGAAGATCATGAAACTTACTACTGGCCTTGAGTATCAGTTCAGAATCAGAGCTGAAAACAGATATGGAATAAGTGAGCACATTGATTCCCCTGCTGTTTCTGTCAGCCTGCCTTACAGTAAGTACACACACACACACACACATACATACATATACACACATATACTGTATATATATATATATATATATATACTACTTTCTATGTGGCACATGTTAATGTCACTATTGGTTTTCCTCTAGCTATTCCTGATGCTCCATCTACTCCAGAGGTCACTGGTGTTACAAGGGAGACCATTACTGTTGCCTGGAAGGAACCCAAGTCTGATGGTGGCAGCCATGTGTTTGGTTACCATCTACAGATGAAAGACAAGAACAGTTTATTGTGGCAGATAGTCAACAAAACTGTAATTCGTGCCACCCATTTCAAGGTCACTAATATCAATGCTGGACTAATTTATGAGTTCAAGGTGACAGCAGAAAATGCTGCTGGCCTGAGTGCCTTCAGCAAAATTTCTGATGCTGTCCTGGCTATTGATGCTTGTGGTGAGTTGAATTTATTATAATTTAACAGAAAAGCAAACCGACTTTGTATTAAAACATCTAATGTGTTTACAGAACCACCTGTGAATCTTCGTATCAGCGACATTACAAAGAACACCATCAGTCTGGCCTGGCAGAAACCTAACTACGATGGTGGATCACCAATCACTGGTTACATGATTGAAAAGAAAGAATTAGCCAGTGGAAAATGGTTCAAGGCTAATTTGAGCAATGTTAGTGACACACGCTTCACTGCTACTGGCCTTACTCAAGATGAATCTTATGAGTTTAGAGTTATGGCTAAGAATGCTGTCGGCTCGGTCAGCAACCCTTCCATGACAGCTGGACCAGCAACATGTGTGGACACTTATGGTGAGTTTCAAGCAATCTGTTTATTGAAGTTGTAGGTCTCACATAAAAGTATTATTTAAAGATGATAGACTTTAATTATTTGTGTTGCATTGTCATTCAGGTGCCCCAGAGATTGAAATACCTCAGGAATATTTTCAGGAGGTTAAATACAAGGCTGAATCCAATGTTGAACTCAAGTTTAATATCACCGCCAAACCCACTCCTACTATTGAATGGATGAAGGATGGCCGAGAGCTCAAACCATCTGCCCAAGTTTCTTTCAAACACACATCTGAATCCACGAGTTTGTTCCTGCGGGACACGACCCGTCTTAACTCTGGAACCTATGAGGTGAAGGTGAAGAACTCCCTTGGGGCTACTTGTGCTCTTGTCAGGCTTCTCATACAAGGTAAGAATCATTTATTTACTTTTTTAATTTGAAAGATAAGCCCCTTGAGATTAATCACCTCATTTGCAAGGGGTTCATGTTAATATTGCATCATATAAACATCTATCCTTCAGAGAAAACCAAAAAATAACTTCTTGTCAATCATTTTCAGACAAACCCGGACCTCCAGCTGGAGAGATTCAGTTCAAGAAAGTCACTGCAGACAATATCACCATTATGTGGGCTCCACCCGCTGATGAGGGAGGTGCTATGGTTACACATTACATTGTTGAGAAGAGGGAAACAAGTCGCATCATGTGGTCCATTGTCTCAGAGAAACTCATGGACTGCATTGTCAATGTCCCAAGACTCATCCAAGGAAATGAATATATCTTTAGAATCCGCGGCGTCAATAAGTATGGTATCGGAGACGCACTTGAGTCTGAACCTATTATTGCAAAGAATGCTTTTGGTGAGTACATTTATAAACAATAGCAAGTTCATGGACCAGGATAATATTAGTACTTATTTTGTTTTCCTTTAGTTCCGCCTAGTGAACCATCCAAACCTAAGGTCACAATGATTACCAAATCCACCATGACTGTGATTTGGGAAAGGCCAGCATTAGATGGAGGCAGTGACATTGATGGTTATTATTTGGAGAAAAGGGAAAAGAAGAGTCTGCAATGGTTTAAGGTTAGTCATGATCAGAACTACTTTAAATCTAGCAATAACCAAATACAATGCATATTTTATGATGTTTATGTTTAATATGTTATTAGGTGGTGAAGGGAACCATAAGAGACACCAGGCAAAAAGTAACTGGTCTTGTGGAGAATAATGAGTACCAGTACAGGGTGTGTGCTGTTAACAAAGCTGGTGCAGGAAACTACTCTGAAGGATCTGATCTATACAAAGCCTACGATCCAATTGGTATGTTATCTGTAAAATGTTATTTGACTTTGAAATTGGTTTTGAATTAACTTGAATAAAACATGCACTGAATATTTTTTTTTTTTACAGATTTACCTGGAGAGCCATCTAAACTGCATGTTATTGACTCTACAAAGACCTCTATCACATTGGGTTGGGAAAGGCCAGTGTATGATGGTGGCAGCAAAATCACACACTATATTTTGGAGCAAATGAATACAGAGGAAAAAGAATGGGTGGTTACAAACCCCCAGGTGGAAACCTGCGAGTACGTAGTGTCACATCTCAAACCAGGAGTCTACTATTTCTTCAGAGTTTCTGCTGTCAACTGTAAGGGAAAAGGAGAAGAAATTAAGTTGTACCAGCCGATTCAACCCAAAGATATTCTCGGTTGGTATTATTAAAATAAGTATACTCAGCCTATTCATAAATAATAAGGAAAAACACAAATGCAGTAGGTCTGGTAGTAAAATGTTTTTTTTGTGTGTTTTCTCCCTACAGAGGAAGCTGATTTGGACTTAGATGTTCAAATGACAACTCAGTACACAGCCAGAGCTGGTCGTGATGTTGAGGTGTTTATTCCTTTGAAGGGTCGCCCCACTCCTAATGTAACCTGGAGACGCGGCGATCGCAACATCGCTGGAGACAATCGTTACAGCATTAACAGCACTGAGCGGTCTACCACCTTGCTCATCCCCAAAGTCACTAGGGATGACTGTGGAAAGTATTTCTTAGAAATTGAGAATGGTGTCGGCGAGCCTAAGATTGTCACTGTATCCCTCAAAGTACTTGACAGCCCATCAACCTGCCAAAAACTCATAGTGAAGAACGTGACCCGAGGAAAACTAACCCTCAGCTGGGAAGCCCCTCTCATTGATGGTGGTTCCCCTGTATCTAACTACATTGTTGAAAAGAAGGCCTCCACAATGAAAGCTTACCAGGTTATCACTAATGAATGTGCCAACACAACATTTAAGGTTACTGGTTTGGAGGAAGATTTAGCTTACTTCTTCCGTGTGTCTGCTGAGAACGAGTTTGGTGTTGGTGACACCTGTGAGACCATTGAACCTGTCAGAGCAACAGAAACACCTGGAGGTGTCAAAGATCTTGTCATGCAAGACTCTACCAAAACCTCAGTCACCTTGCTGTGGACCAAGCCTGACCATGATGGTGGCAGCCACATCACAGAGTACATCATTGAAAAGAGAACAAAGGAAGACCCCACCTGGACTTTGGGAGCTACATGTAGGCGATGCAACTGTGAAGTTAAAGGTCTCAAGGAAAATTCTATCATGGACTTTAGAGTGTTTGCTAAGAATGAGAAGGGAACAGGTGACTTTTCACAGATTGGTCCGATTACAGTGCAAGATTTCATCATTCCTCCTGAGGCCAGTCTAATTGATTATCCCAATGGTGACCTTGCTGTTCGCATCGGCCAGAACATCCATATTGAGTTACCTTTCAAAGGCAAACCAAGACCTGTAATCAGCTGGCTCAAGGATAATCAGCCTCTGAAGGAAAGTGATAGGATTCGCTTCAGGACAACTGACAACAAAACTTCTGTCACTGTCAGAGGAGCCAAGAAAGAACATGCTGGTCAATACACTCTAGTTTTGGATAACAGGACTATTAAGAACTACTTTGACATTAATGTGACTACCCTTGGTGCTCCATCTGTCCCAATTGGACCTATTCGTTTTGATGAAATTAAAGCCCAAAGCATCATTGTTTCTTGGGATCCGCCAAAAGATGATGGAGGCAGTGAGATCTCATGCTACAGTATAGAGAAACGTGAGACATCTCATGCCAACTGGAAATTGGTATGCTCCAGTGTTGTCAGAACCAGTTTCAAGATTCCAAACTTGGTCAAGGGAACAGCATACCAGTTCAGAGTTCGTGCAGAGAACAAATTCGGAGTGAGTAGTGCACTTACCTCACCTGAAGTTATCGCCCAACATCAATATAAACCTCCTGGTGCACCTGGAAAGCCTGTTGCATTTAACATTACTAGTGATGGCATGACTATCAAATGGGAGGCCCCCGGCTTTGATGGTGGCTCTCCAATTTTGGGCTATCATGTTGAGAAAAAGGACAGAAACAGCCTATTGTGGCAGAAGGTGAACTCAAGCATCATTTCTAACAGAGAGTACAGGAGCATCGGTCTGTTGGAAGGTCTTGAGTACTCCTTCAGAGTCTATGCTGAAAACAATGCTGGACTCAGCCCTGTGAGCGAGCAGAGCAAACATGCACTTGCTATTTCGCCAGTTGGTGAGTATTATGAAATGAAATGAAAAAGCAGCAGTTATTTTAGTAAATGTTATTAAAACTGTAATTTTTTTTTTTCTTAGATCCACCTGGAACTCCTGTCTGTATTGATGTGACAAGAGACTCAGTCACTCTGCGGTGGGATGTCCCTAAGAGAGATGGAGGCTACAAGATTGTTGCCTACAGTGTTGAAAGACGCCAAGGGCGAGGGAAATGGCTCAGATGTAACTTCACAGACATCAGTGAGACACAGTTCACTGTGACTGGTCTATCACCTGGAGATAGATTTGAGTTCAGGGTTATTGCCAGGAATGCTGTTGGCACAATCAGTCCTCCCTCAAATTCCTCTGCTTACATCATGACCAAGGACGAGAGCAGTATGTTCCTTTCGCACAACCTTTCTTTGTTTGACCAAATATATATTGTTATCTAAGCTATTCTTTTATTTGTCTGTAGTTACTCCTGAAATCGAGTGGTCACCAGATCAGGTTGTCGCACTACGTGCCGGAGAGAATGTAAGGCTGGGGTGCACCATTACAGGTCGGCCTGTACCACAAGTCATGTGGTACAAGGATGGCAAAGAGATTGACAAGAGAACAATGATTGACATTGAGATCACCACTGGTATTGGCACAAGCAACTTGTTCATCCGTGACGCTGACAGGAACCATCGTGGAATTTACACTGTGGAAGCTAAGAACAGTTCTGGAACTAAGAAGGCTGATGTTAATGTCAGAGTGCAAGGTAATTAATTTTTGTATGTCCATATTTAATCATTGGTCTAAGATCAATGGTTTATGATGATTGCTCTTCTCAGATACTCCTGGACCAGTCGAGGGACCCATTCGTTTTACTGGCATCACAGCTGAAAAGTGCACTGTCTGGTGGAACCCACCGGAGAATGATGGCTGTGCTGCTATCACACATTATGTGGTTGAGAAGAGAGAGACTTCCAGGATTTCATGGGCTACTGTCACATCCAAGTGTGAAGCCTGCTCATTCAATGCCACTAATCTCATCAAGGGCAATGAGTATCAATTCCGAATTTCTGCTGTCAACAAGCTTGGTGTCGGAAAACCTCTGGATTCTGAACCCATTATTGCCCAAATGCAATACAGTGAGTGGTCATGCATTTTTGGTATCATAGTTTTATTAGCTATTGACCTGATAGATACATAACCTATTTATTTGCCTCTGTTTTTAGCTGTTCCAGATGCACCTGGTACTCCAGATGCTACTCACATCACTGGAGACAGCATTACTTTGGGCTGGACCAGGCCTAGAACAGATGGAGGAAATGAAATTAAACATTACATTTTGGAGAGAAGGGAGAAAAAGAGTCTTCGCTGGGTAAAGGTCTCCTCAAAAAGGACTATCACAGAGCTGAGACATCGCGTTACAAATCTGACAGAAGGCAACGAGTATGAGTTCCGCGTCATGGCTGAAAATGGTGCTGGTGTGGGACCAGCGAGTAGCACTTCAAGACTCTTCAAATGTAGAGAGCCAACATGCGCTCCAAGCACTCCAACACTGATTAAGGTATTCATAGTTACCAAACCTATGCAATATACTGTATGTATGTATATCTAATATCTTATTTTTTGCAATGCAGGTTATGGATTCAACCAAGTCATCTATCACTATAGAATGGACCAAGCCTGTGTTTGATGGTGGAAACGAAATTATTGGCTACAACATTGACATGTGCAAAGCTAGTCTGGAAGAGTGGCACAGAGTTAACAGCCAAATATGTATTAAGACCAAGTATACAGCAAAGGGTCTGGTTCCTGGAGAGTTCTACAAGTTCAGGGTCAGTGCGGTTAATGGTTCTGGAGAAGGTGATTCCTCAGTGTTGTCTAACCCTGTCCAGGCTCTAGACAGGTTAACCTCTCCTGAGATGAATATTGGAGCTGACTTTAAACAGACCCACATTGTGAAGAATGGTGGCACTGTAACTCTCCATATTGACTTTAGAGGTAAACCAGTGCCTCTTGCCACATGGACTAGGGTTGATGGGGAGCTGCCGGTTATGGCTGATGTCAACACGTCAGACACCTTCTCTACACTCACCATTGAGGGTTGCACAAGATATGAAGCTGGAAAATACACACTCTCTTTGGAAAACAATAGTGGACGTAAGTCTGTCACGTTCACAATTAAAGTGCTTGACACACCTGGACCTCCTGGAGCCATTTCTTTCAAGGACATCACTCGTGGAGCTTTGACAATGATGTGGGATGCTCCCACGAATGATGGTGGAGCCAGAGTTCATCACTACATTGTTGACAAACGAGAGGCTAGTCGCCTTGCATGGCAAGAGGTCAGTCAAAAATGCTCCAGGCAAATGATCAGAGTGACTGGCCTGGATGTTGGCGTGCCTTATCTATTCAGAGTTATGGCTGTTAACCAGTATGGCCAGGGAGAGGCTCATGAGATGACAGACCCAGTCATTGCCACAGAAGAACCTGCTCCCCCTAAGAGGCTGGATGTTGTAGATACTTCAAGTTCTACTGCTTCTTTGGTATGGGTGAAGCCTGAACACGATGGTGGTAGCCGCATCAGAGGCTACATTATTGAATTCAGGGCGAAGGGAACTGATCGTTGGGTTGCTGCTGGAGAGACCAAGCTTACAAAAATGCTGGTTGACGGACTGATAGAAAACACAGAGTATGACTTCAGAGTGAAAGCTAAAAATGATAAAGGAATCAGTGATCCTCAAGGAACATTTGGTTCTGTTGTCATTAAGGAGCCTCGCATCGAGCCAACAGCTGACCTCAGCGGGATCACCAACCAGCTTATTGTTTGCAAAACCTCCAACACATTCACAATTGATATCCCTATCAGTGGCAGACCTGCACCTAAAGTCACTTGGAAGCTGGAAGAAATGAAACTGAAAGAGTCTGAAAGAGTTATTATCAGGACAACAAAAGAGAGAACCACTTTGTTAGTTAGAGACAGCAAGAGAAGTGATAGTGGAAAGTATTATCTTGTTTTGGAAAATGCTGCTGGAGTGAAGACATTTGCCATCACTGTACTAATTGTGGGCAGACCTTCATCTCCCACTGGCCCCTTGGAAATTTCTGGAGTTTCCTCAGAGTCCTGCACATTATCCTGGTCAGAGCCAGCTGATGATGGAGGCACAGAAATTGCTAACTACATTGTGGAGAAACGCGAGTCCGGTTCTTCCTCCTGGCAAGTGGTCAATTCCAGTGTAAAGAGAACTACAATTAAAGTGACTCATCTGACAAAATACATGGAGTACACCTTCAAAGTATGTGCAGAAAATAAATTTGGAGTGAGCAAGTCGATTGAGTCTGCACCAGTTGTCATTGAACATCCATTTGGTAAGTAATGACCAACAGTTAAAATTGATAAAAATAGAAATGTATCATAAACAATTTTGGTCTTGCATTTTTCCAGTGCCTCCAAGTTCCCCAACTCGGCCAGATGTTGTGTCTGTATCAGCTAATGCCATTAGCATCAAATGGGATGTTCCATATGCTGATGGTGGCAGCAAGGTTACAGGCTACTGGATTGAAAAGAAGGAACGAAACACTATCCTGTGGGTGCGTGAAAACAAACTGCCCTGTCTGGAGTGTCATTACAAGGTTTCCAACTTGATAGAGGGTTTGGATTACCAGTTCAGAGTGTATGCCATGAACATAGCTGGCCTCAGCAAAGCCAGTGAGGCCTCCAGACCGGTGTTGGCTCTGAACCCAGTTGGTAAGTCCCTTTAAACAAAACAAAAAACAATCATTAGTAATAGGGTAATAATGAATATGTTTTACAAAATAATAAAAACAATAAAACTACAAATATGTAAAACTTTTTTTAACCCTTTTTTAAAAAATAGATGCACCTGGCAAACCTGAGGTGACAGACATCACTCGCTCTTCTGTGTCCATTTGCTGGACTATACCACAGAATGATGGTGGCAGCCAGATTGTTGGCTACATTGTGGAGAGGAAAGTCTTCAGCACAGATGAATGGGATGACAACCGCTGGCTCAAGTGCAACTATACTACTATCACAGAGAACTACTTTACAGTCACTAATCTTGGAGAGGGAGACACATATGAGTATCGTGTTATTGCCAAGAATGCTGCTGGTGTCCATAGTGCTGCTTCTGAGACAACTGGAGCAGTCACCTGCAGGGATGAATACTGTAAGTTAGATAATGTTGCATTTGAATCGAAAAATAAATAATACAGTTACTCACTCAAATTTATTATTTTGCATAGCTCCACCCAAAGCAGAGCTGGATAGCCAGCTGGTGGGAGAGACTGTTACAGTGGTGGCTGGTTCCGACGTGGTTCTGGATGCAGCTGTAGGCGGTAAACCAGAACCCACAGTATATTGGGCCAAAGGAGAGAAAATCCTGGAATTAGGAGAAAAATACTCTTTGACATACACTTCAACTAAAGCCATGGTCGTTATCAAGAACTGTGACAGATACGACACAGGCAGATACGTTCTGACAGTGAAAAATGCAAATGGTGTAAGGACAGTGGCTGTCAGCGTAAAGGTTCTTGGTAAGAATCTCTACTGAATATAGTAACATTTGGTTTATTAACAAAAATCTAAAATATCTCTTTTCTTTTATCAGATACTCCAGGAGCACCGGCTGACAAGATAGTTATCAGCAGAGTAACAGAAGAAAAATGTTCTGTTGCCTGGAAGATTCCTCTGGAGGATGGTGGTGACACTGTTACACATTACATCGTGGAGCGTCGTGAGACCAGCCGCCTTAACTGGATCCTCATGGAAACTGAGTGCAAGTCGCTGTCATGTGTCAGCTCTAAACTCATCAAAAACAATGAGTATGTCTTCAGAGTCCGTGGCGTCAACAAATACGGCCCTGGAGTTCCACTGGAGTCTGATCCAGTCATTGCCAGAAATGCATACAGTAAGATTCTTGGTGCTATTTTAATTATCGCTGGGGAACAAACATATTGCTGTTTTTTTAATTGAGAAGAAACATGTTACTAAATACAACTCTTGTCTTCTAGCTATTTCAACACCTCCAGGTACACCTGAGGCCACTGCTGTTGCTAAAGAGCATGTCATCATTGAATGGCTGAAGCCTGAGAGTGATGGCGGCAGTGAAATAAAAAATTATATAGTGGAGAAACGAGAAAAGAGCAGTACAAGGTAGGTGTAAAGTCTTCGACAAAATTGAAATGCTTTGATAAATATGTTTTTTTTTCTGAGTGCTTTACTTTGTCTACCCTAAATAAGGTGGACACGTGTCAATAGGACGTACACAATCTATGACACCCGCCTGAAGATCACTGGTCTCCTGGAGGGAAGTGAATACCAGTTCAGGGTGACAGCTGTTAACGCTGCTGGTGATAGTCAGCCTAGTGATGCTTCACCATACATTCTCTGCAAAGACCCAACATGTGAGGAATTCAAAAATAAAATACATACATTGCATTTGTAATAATTAACTATTTATGAAATATAATCAAATTAGTGTACGTAGCATTCATTAAAAAAATAATAATAATGCAAGTCTCTGCTCTCTATAGATACACCTGCTCCTCCATCAATGCCACGCATCACAGATACAACTAAGCACAGCATTTCTATGACTTGGACAAGACCAATGTATGATGGTGGTTCTGATGTCACTGGCTATGTGATAGAGATCTTGGAGGAAGGGTCTGAGCAGTGGTACAGAGCTACAACAAAGGCTCTTAAGACCAACGAATATGTGGCTGCAGGACTAGCAGCCAATAAGACGTATAGGTTCAGAGTGGCAGCTCTCAACAGCAATGGAACTGGAGAATTCAGTGACCCTAGCGCTGAGATTGAGCCTCTTGAGAGAGTTGGTAAGTAGAGACAAGGGTAACTTCTGGTTCCCAATTCTAACTTGTGTTATGAAATGGCATTTTATAAAATGTTGTTTAACTCTACAGAAATGCCTGATCTGGAGCCAGCTGATGACCTGAAGAAAACTGTGTGTCTTCGTGCTGGTGGCACAATGCGACTATTTTTATCTGTTACTGGTCGACCAACACCTGTGGTTGCCTGGAGAAAGACCGGAGTTGAACTGCAGAGCCGTGGTTACATTGAGACCACAGACACATACACATCACTAATTGTGGAAAAGGTGAATCGTTATGACTCTGGAAAATATGTTGTTGAAGCAGAAAATCCATCTGGCAAGAAGACGGCCACTATCCTTGTAAAGGTGTATGGTAAGCAAAAAAGACAATTGTCAGACACAATTGGCAGAATGGACTCTTTACAGAAGTTGCATAATTATTTCCTCTTTCATCGACAGACACCCCTGGCCCTCCAGGCTCTGTAAAGGTCAAGGACTACACTAAAGAGTCTGTTGTCATTACTTGGGATGTCCCGAGCCTTGATGGTGGTGCTCATGTCAGTAATTATATAGTGGAGAAGCGTGAAGCCAACATGAAATCGTACAAGACTGTGACTACAGAGTGCCGAAAGACACTCTTGAGGATCACAGGACTGGAAGAGGGTGTTCACTACTTCTTCCGAGTTTTACCAGAGAATATATATGGAATTGGTGAGCCTTGTGAGACTGCTGAAGCTGTTTTGGTTTGTGAAGTACCATCAGTACCCACAGACCTTCAGATGGTAGATGTCACCAAGTCAACTGTTTCCTTGCGCTGGGAGAAACCACTTTATGATGGGGCTAGCAGACTGACTGGATATATTCTGGAGGCCTGCAAGGTTGGCTCTGACAGATGGAGTACTGTGGCAACAGTCAAATCTTCAGTCTCCCATTACACCATCCAATCTCTGACAGAGAATGATCAGTACCTCTTCAGGATCAGAGCTACAAATAGTAGAGGAGCCAGTGAGCCCATGGACATTATCACTCCAATTACTATCCAAGAAATTACTGGTAAGAATTAAAAAAATAACACTATTTTAAATATGATGCATGTCAAGATTTGTATTGATCCATAGCAACTGAACTGCTTTATTACAGTGATTCCAAAGATCGACATGACAAATATTCCTCAGAAGATTGTTCATGTGCATCGTGGAAAGCCTATTGATCTAAACATGCCTATCAAGGCAAAGCCACAGCCTGTCTGCTCGTGGTCTTTCGGTGGTGTTAAGCTGAAGGATAGTCTTGACCGCATCAAGATTGATAGCAATGGCAAATACAGCCACCTCGTAATTCGTGATACTACTATCAACGACACTGGAGACTATACTCTGGAGGTGAAAAATACAGTTGGTGTTGCAACAGAGGTCATCAAAGTCATCATTCTTGGTAAGAAGATACTTGTCCAAATAATCAATCCTATTGCAATTTTACACACCTCATTTTTTGTGTATTGTTTTCTAGACAAACCTGGCATCCCAGTTGGTCCAATAAAGGTTGAAGAGACTGATGGAATCTCTGTGACAGTCAGTTGGGAACCACCGGAGAAGGATGGAGGGGCCAATGTCAGTGGCTATGTTGTAGAACAACGTGAGGCTCATCGCCCTGGATGGAGCACAGTATCGGAGTCTGTCACAAGACCATGCTTCAAGTTCACCAGATTGAACGAAGGAACTGAATATGTGTTCCGTGCTGCTGCCATGAATCGCTTTGGTGTTGGTGGCTTTTTGCAATCAGAAGTTGTGGAGTGCAAAAGTCCCAAAAGTGAGTTTCACTTAAATGTTACAGATATTATTGTATAATGCAACCGTAAACAATATGTTCTTGTTTGCATAAGTCAAAAAGTTAAATTCACTTTCTTATTCTTCCTTTTACAGCCATCCCTGGACCTCCCATTAGACTTGAGGTACTTGATGTCACCCATGAGGGCATGACCCTGACATGGCAACCCCCAGAGGACAATGGTGGTTCCACTATTGCTGGCTACATCATTGAACGTAAAGAAGCTGGATCCGACAGATGGTTAAAGATGAACAAGACTCCTGTCACTATGACAAGATATCGTTCATCTGGCCTTATTGAGGGCCTGGAGTATGAACACCGCATCACTGCTATCAACTCTAGAGGAGCCGGAAAGCCCAGTGAGAGCTCCGCTATTACTGTGGCCATGGATCCCATCGGTATGTATTTGGATAATTTATTTATATTTAATTATAACTGATAGGAACAAATGTAGGCGACAGTGGATCCGTTTGTAGAGCATTGGCCTTTGGGCCTGAAGGTTGTGGGTTCGAGTCCACCATGAGACCTACTTCAAGGCTCCCACTGATATCTGCTGTTGTTGTGTCCATGGGCAAGACACTTAACCCCAGCTTGCCTGAAGCCCCCGCTGAATTATCAAGGCTGTGTTGTCACTGACAGAACATCCATCCTCTGTAGACTCACCACCTGCAGGAGGATCAGTGAGGGGCTGGTGCTCTGTGAATTGGGTGTGGCTCTGACTGCCACCCCCCCTGACCCAGAAATGGATTAAGGGGAAGAAAATAGATGGATGGATGGAGGAACAAATGTACTCATATTATATAATTTCTGATATCTTTCTAATTTTTACAGATCCTCCTGGCCCTCCAAGAGAGCCCAAAGTCACAGACACCACCAGGACTTCTGTTTCTCTTGCCTGGCTCTCACCAGAAGAAGAGGGTGGCGCTATTGTTTCTGGATACTTAATAGAAATGCAGAAGGTGGACCAAGTGGAATGGACCTTGTGCAACACAACTCCAACAAAGATGTGTGAATACACCCTCACTCATATGCCTCAGGGAGCAGAGTACAAGTTCAGGGTCATTGCTTGCAATGCAGGTGGTGCTGGTGAACCTGCTGAGATTCCAGGAGTTGTCAAAGTCCAAGAGATGCTTGGTATGTAGTTGTGGTGAAATAAACTGAACTATGTTGAATTTTGAATGATAAGCTTTTCTACCATTGTATTTAATCTTAGGTTATCCTGACTATGAGCTTGATCGTAAATATGAAGAGGGCTATGTGGTACGCCAGGGTGGAGTGGTTTGTCTGTCAGTGCCGATAAAGGGTAAACCTATTCCAACATGCAAATGGACCAAGGATGGCCGTGACATTGCACACCGGGCTATGATTGCCACTAATGATGATGTGACTGAGCTGGTCATTAAGGATGCCCACAAAGATGACACTGGAACTTATGATCTGGTGCTGGAAAACAAGTGTGGAAGAAAGGCTGTCTACATCAAGGTGTTTATTGGAATCCATTATTTTTAAATATAACTTAATCAAATGGTTCTTACAGCTCTAACTTTTGTCAATTTGCACACACCTCAAATGTATTCTGCTTTGATTGATAATATATAATACTATTTAGGTGAAGGTCATTGGTCGTCCAGATGTTCCAGAAGGACCTCTTGAATTTGATGACATTCAAGCAAGATCTGTGCGTGTAAGCTGGAGAGCACCGTCAGATGATGGTGGTTCTGACATCCTGGGCTATGTGGTGGAGAGACGCGAGGTTCCAAAAGCAGCCTGGTACACTGTAGATGCCAGAGTAACAGAGACATCACTTGTTGTCAAGGGACTGAAAGAAAATGTTCAGTACCACTTCAAGATTTCTGCTGAAAATCAGTTTGGTATCAGCAGATCCCTTAAATCTGATGAGCCTGTCACACCAAAGACACCACTGTGTGAGTATTTCTTTAGGGGGTCTGAAGGAAGTTTTTGAATGCTATTGAATGCATCTATTTTATTGTATAGCCATTTTTATTGGAGAAATACATATTTGTGTACTTGTTCTCAGGTGTACCTGAGCCTCCAAGCAATCCACCTGAGATCATGGAAGTCACTAAGACTACTGTGGCCCTGTCTTGGGCCCGCCCTCGTGATGACGGTGGTTCTCGCATCACTGGATACTTTGTGGAGAGGAGGGAAGTGTCTACTGAGAAATGGGTCCGCCACAACAAGACCCATATCACAACCACAATGTACAATGTTTGTGGTCTTATCCCAGATGCAGAGTACATGTTTAGAATTATAGCACAGAATGACATAGGAAAGAGTGAATCTGGTCCTGCATCAGAACCAGTTATCTGCAAAGATCCATTTGGTAAGTCACATGTTTAAAAATTGGAGGTAACACAACAAATCTAAAATATTTCATTTATTTACTGTTTACCTATTTTTCCAGACAAACCAAGCCAACCTGGTGAGATCGACATTGTGTCGGTCACAAAGGACTCAATCACAATTCACTGGCTTAGACCTGAACAAGATGGTGGCAAAGAGATCCTTGGCTACTGGATTGAGTTCAGAGAGGCTGGAGAGTCTGCATGGAAGAAATGCACCAAAGAGCGTTCCAAAGATCGCCAGTTCACCATGGGTGGTTTGATGGAAGCGTCAGAATATGAATTCAGAATCTTTGCTGAAAATGAAACTGGGCTCAGTCGTCCTCGTCGCACTCCAATGGGCATTAAGACCAAACTAAGTGGTAAGATATAATTCCAATGTTATTTACATACCGATTTAACTTCAAATGTAGTCAGTGGCATACTTTCTCAGTTGAAACCACAGAGAAATACTGTGCAGCTTATTATGTCACAAAATGCTTCTTATACTTTGGACATTCAATTTACACAATTTTTTTCTCTTTGTAGTTGGTGAGGCTCCAGTTTTGAAGGAGGAAATGGAAGACACAACAACCAAGCTTGGTGAATCTGGCACTCTTACTTGTGGTATCATAGGACGTCCTCTGCCAGAGATCAAATGGTACCGCTATGGAAAGGAGCTAATCCAGAGCCGCAAGTACAAAATGAGCTCAGATGGGCGCAACCATTCACTGAGCGTTCTGACTGACGAGCAGGAGGATGAAGGTGTCTACACATGTAGAGCTACCAATGAGGCTGGCGAGATAGAAACCAGCGGCAAACTCCGTCTCCAGGCAGCACCACAATTCCATCCTGGCTTCCCCCTGAAAGAGAAATACTATGCAGGTGCCGGCACCAGCTTGCGTCTCCATGTTGTCTACATTGGTCGTCCAATTCCTCAGATCATGTGGTTCTATGGAAAGAAGCCTCTTAATCCATCTGAGAATGTGATTATTGAAACTACAGAAAGCTATACTCACTTAGTTGTGAGGAATGCTCAGCGAAAGACCAATGCCGGACGGTACAAGGTGCAACTTAGCAATGCTTTTGGAACTATTGATACATCTCTTCGTGTTGAAATCCTGGGTAAAAGTCATTCATCAATTTGAATTAAAAATAACAACCAAAATAGTTGTGACATTTCTATTAAAATTGTCCTTTCTTTACCAGATAAACCTTGCATCCCTGAAGGACCTTTGGTTGTTGATGCCCTGCTGAAGAGCGCAGCTGTGATTAGTTGGAAGCCACCAAAGGATGATGGTGGTTCTATGATCACGAATTATCTTGTGGAGAAACGAGAGGCCAAAGAAGGCGAGCAGTGGGGCCTAGTGTCCTCCTCCGTCACTGGCACCACATGCCGTGTCATCAATCTCATAGAAAGTGCTGGATACTACTTCAGAGTTTCTGCACAGAACCAGTATGGAGTCAGTGAATCACTGGAAATTCCTTCCGTTGTCATTATCAAGAGTCCATTTGGTAAAAAATTCATACTCACACATAATTCTTATACATTTTTTCTTCACTCCTTCTTGACATTTGATTGCTTTTCTGTTTTCCAGAAAAACCTGGCATTCCACAACAGCCCTTCATTTTGAGCTCTACAAAAGATTCTTGTGTTGTTTCTTGGAAGCCTCCAAGCAGTGACGGCGGAGCCAAAATCACAAACTACTATCTGGAAAAACGTGAAAAGAAGCAGAATAAATGGATGTCAGTAACCGCCAGGAAGATTGTAGAAACCAAATTTGAGGTTACAGCCCTGATCACAGGCTTTGAATATGAGTTCCGTGTTAAATGCGAGAACATGGGAGGTGAAAGTGACTGGAGTGAAATCTCCGCTCCAGTCATTCCTAAGTCAGACCAGACTCCACGTGCACCTATCTTCAGAGAGGAGATTAGGGACATGACCGTCAAGTACCAAGCCAATGCCACATTTGTCACAAAGGTAAGCTCCATTTAAGAGATGTCTTAAATACATTAATTATGAATGTTGTAAGAATTATTTTATTCCCCCAAAGGTGGTTGGCTATCCAAAACCAATGATTAAATGGTACCGCAACGGAAAGGAGATCCAGGCTGATGGAACCAAAATAAAATCTCAGGAATTCAAGGGAGGATACTATCAACTGGTTATTACAAATACTGATGAAAGGGATGCCATGGTTTACCAAGTTAGGGCTACCAATGCAACAGGCTCAATCTCCATGAGCGCCAACCTTGATGTGGAAGGTAACAATTTTTTTACAAACAATACTATGCTGCCGCACTATATATATATATATATATATATATATATTTTTTAATACACACTTTTCTTACACATTATATATATATGTTTTCTTTCTATTAGTTCCTGCAAAGATCTACCTGCCAAAGGAGCTTCAGGGAATGGGTGCAGTTCATGCGGCTCGCGGTGAACACATTACAATCAAGATTCCCATCTCTGGAAAGCCGGAGCCTGCAGTTACTTGGCAGAAGGGCCAAGAAATCCTCTCAAACTCTCCTTTCCATCAAGTCATCACCACCAGATCTTTCACTTCTCTGGTCTTCCAGAAGGGTGTGAAAAGCAAGGATACTGGTTACTACATTATTACTGCTAAGAATAGATTTGGCACCGACAAGCAAACAATTGAAGTCTGTGTAGCTGATATTCCTGAAGAACCAAAGGGACTTATTGTCAGCGATATTGGTCGGGATTCAATAACACTCAAATGGGAACCTCCTGCAAATGATGGAGGAAGCGACATTATCAATTACATTGTTGAGAAGTGTCCAGCTAATGGTGAACGATGGATCCGTGCTGGACAAACACCTGACTGCACAATCACAATAATTAATATCTTTGGAAAGACCAAATACCAATTCCGGGTAATTGCTGAGAATGAGTTTGGCTTAAGTCCACCATGTGCCCCAACTGAAGCCATTACCACAAAAGAAGATAAATCTGTTATCAGAAATTATGATGAAGAGGTAGATGAAGCACGAGAAATCGTAAAAGAAGAGGCTCCATTCTACAAGGTGAAGGAGTTGTCATCCAAGTATTCCATTTCCGAGGAACTTGCCCGTTGTCAGTTTGGTGCTGTCTACAGGTGTGTTGAGATAGCAACAAAGAAGACCTTCATGGCTAAGTTTATCAAAGTCAAAGGCACAGACCGTGAGTTAGTTCTCAGAGAGATCGAGGCTCTTAATGTAGCAAGACACAAAAATATCATCTATCTCCATGAATACTTTGAGAGTATGGAAGAGATAGTTTTGATCTATGAATTCATTTCTGGTGTGGATATATTTGAGCGCCTTGGCATTGGAAACTTTGAGTTGTCAGAGCAAGAGATTGTTCGTTACCTGAGACAGGTGTGCTCTGCTCTCACATTCATGCATGACAATAACTTTGGTCATTTTGATATTCGTCCTGACAACATAGTCTATACTACAAAGAGAAGCACCAGTATTAAGATTATTGAAATGGGCCAGTCCAGACTGCTGGTCCCTGGAGAAAACATCAGAATGTTGTTTTCTGCACCAGAATACTGTGCTCCTGAGATCCACCACCATGATCTTGTCACCACTGCCACAGACATGTGGTCTGTTGGTGTAATGGCCTATGTCCTGCTTAGTGGCATCAATCCATTCGCTGCCGAATCTGTGACAAAAATGATTGAAAATATCTCAAATTGTGAGTATGTGTTTGACAGCGAAGCGTTCAAGGATATTAGTATTGAGGCTTTGGACTTTGTGGATAGACTTTTAGTCAAGGACAGGAAACTCCGTATGACTGCACATGAGGCTTTGGAACACCCCTGGCTCAAGATGAAGCTGGAGAATGTGAACAACAAGCCAATTAGGACTCTGAAACACAGACGCTACTACCAAGCTTTGTCAAAGAAGACTGATTATATTGTGTCAGCAGCTCGCATTGCCTATGGTGGAGCTTTCAGAAACCAGAGAGGACTTGCTGTGGGGAAAGTCAAGATTGGCACTGAGTACCGAGGCCTGCGGGCTGGTCCAGTTATGCATGCATCGGCTGAAGATGGTGGTCATGTGAGATTTACTTGCAGCTTCACCAACTTTGACAAGAGCACACAAGTATCGTGGTACTTTGGTAATCGTCAGCTGCACCCCAGTCCTAAGTATGAGATCAATTACAGCAATGGCTTTGCCAGTATATATGTGAAGGATATCGAAGAGTGTGATGATGGTGTTTACAGATGCAAGGTTGTTAGTGATGATGGAGAGGACAGCGCTTATGGAGAGCTCTTTGTTGAATCTGTTAGAAGCATAAAAGAGTTCTACCTCAGCCGCTCAGTCAGGAAACTCAGGAAGAGAGTTGACAAGACAAAACTTCTCCAAAGACCACCTGAGTTCACACTGCCACTCTACAACCGCACTGCCTTCATTGGTGAAGATGTCCGCTTTGGAGTCACCATTACTGTACATCCTGAACCTCACGTAACATGGCTTAAGAATGGGGAGAGGATCAAACCAGGTGATGATGACAGAAAGTACACATTCATCAGTGATAAAGGTCTTTATCAGCTGGTGATCCATAACTTGGATATGAATGATGATGGAGAATACACAGTCATGGCTCACAACAGGTTTGGTGAAGATAGTTGCAAAGCTTCGCTTACTGTGACACCTCATCCCATTTTGGAAGAGACCATGAGACCCATGTTCAAACGCCTACTGGCTAATACTGAGTGTGTTGAGGGTGACAGTGTCCACTTTGAGCTCAGGGTTACAGGAATACCCACTCCCTCTTTGAAATGGGAGAAGGATGGTAAACCATTACAACAGAGCTCTAAAGTTGTTGTTATTGAAGAGGATGTGGATTACCATGTTCTGCATGTCCGAGAAACTCTTCTTGACGATTCTGGTGTCTATAAGGTTACTGCAACCAACTCTGCTGGATCTGCGACTTGCCAAGCTACCCTCAAGGTGGACCGTCTGACTTACACAAGGCGGGAGTACAAAAGTGAACAGGAAAAAATTAGACATATTCAAAAACAAATTGAAAAGACAAACAAGATGGCTCAGCATATTGCAGCGACAGAGGAACTTGTTCCTTTGAATCCGGCTGCCCAAGAGGCCCTCAAATTTGCTGCAGAGATGTACAAGCCTGCCGTAAGCACAAAGAATATTGAAGGGGAATTTGACATCACAGAAGAAAAGTCACACACTAAGAAATTGGAAGAGGGAAGAAGAATCTTTATGCCATATGAAATCCCTGAGCCTGTGGTTCATGATCCAAAAGCTCTTGATGAGGACAAAGGCATCAAACAGTTTATGCCTTTGTCTGAGATGAAATGGTACAGAAAGATCCGAGACCAGTATGAAATTTCAGAGAAAACAGAAAGAGTTGTCCAGAGGAGACAGCGTCGCATTCGCTTATCCAGATGGGAGCAATTCTATGTTATGCCTCTTCCAAGAATTACAGACCAGTATAGACCAAGATGGCGTATTCCTAAACTGACACTTGATGATTTGGAGACAGTAAGACCTGCACGTCGCTCACCGTCTCCTGAATCTGAAGTCTCTTTCCAATCTAGAAGAAGATCTCTGGGAGACCTTAGCGATGAAGAAGACATGATGAGAGCAGAGGAGGAAAAAATGATGCTTGAGGATGAGCTTGAGCTTGGATTTTCTGCCTCTCCAGTGCATAGTCCAGTTCGCATTGAAAGGTATGAAGAAAGAAGACAAGAAGCGAGACATGAAGCTGTTGAGGCGACTGAGACCAAGAAAAAGCGGACAGTTGCTCAGTTCATGAGAAGAAGGAGATCGTTGTCACCAACATATATTGAGCTAATGCGTCCAGTGTCAGAGCTTATCAAATCACGTCCCAAACCATTGGTTGATATTAAGTCCGAGCATGTAGTAAGGAGGTCACCTACTCCTGAGAGAACTCGACCCCGTTCTCCAAGCCCAGTCAAATCTGCTGAGAGATCCTCTCGCTCCTCTTCAAGGTTTGAGCGCTCTGCACGCTTTGACATTATGTCACGCTATGAGGCCAGGAAAGCTGCATTGAAATCTGAAAGAAAATTCCAGGTGGTTAGCCAGACTCCATTCAGTTTGGATCATGCACCTAGAGTGACTGTCAGAATGCGCTCTCATCGTGTTCCCATTGGCCAAGACACAAAATTCACTTTGAATATCCAGTCTAAACCAGATGCTGAGATCCAATGGCTCCATAATGGTGTGGTAATCACTGAAAGCAGCCAGAAATATGTATTTTCTAACATGAGTGGAGTTTTGTCTATCACTATCTTGAACTGTCAAGAGGAGGACAGTGGCACATATCGCTGTGTATGCTCAAACGCCAAGGGAGAGGCCTCTGACTATGCCACCCTGGATGTATCAGGTGGTGGCTACACAACCTTTTCCTCCCGTCGCAAAGATGAAGAAGTCACCAGAGGACACGTCCCTGAAGCTTGTAAAATTGACCATTATCACACAACTCACTTTAAAGCTGGGTATGCATCAGAAAGCCATGTTGCAGTAGAACAAACAAAGACCAAATATAGTCGTGAAAGATATGCAGCCTCATCTGAAAGGTATTCATCTGCAGAGAGATATGAATCATCTGTTAAATATGCCTCCACTGAATATTTGTCATCTGGGTCTTCATATTCATCTGACAAGTTTTCTTTGACAGGAAAACATGCAGAGAAAAGCTCAGTGGTTAAATCAAAAACTACTGCTGCAGTTGAAGAAAAAGTAAGGCCTTCCCTTCCTGCAAAAATTCTTACCAAACCTGAGTCAGTGACAGTTTCTGAAGGTGAAACGGCAAAATTTTCTTGTGACATTGATGGGGAGCCAACACCAACTGTGACTTGGATGCACGAGACCAAAACACTATCTTCCTCTCAAGATATTCATATCACTTCCACACAGTACAAATCTAATCTAGAAATTACTTCTGTAACATCTTCAGATGAAGGTAGCTACACAGTGATGGTTGAAAACTCTGCAGGCCGCCAAGAGGCTCACTTCACTTTAACGATCCACAGACCACCTCCCAAAGCTGAAGTTAAGGCTGTCAAATCACCAGAGCCATCTGTGAAATCACCAACCCCTAGTGTGAAGTCACCAGAACCTACTGTTACATCTCCTGTTCCATCCATAAAATCCCCTGAACCCATTGTAAAGTCCCTAGAGCCAGCAATCAAGTCTCCTGTAAAGTCCCCTGAACCTACCAGTGTTAAATCGCCTGAACCTGAGGGAATAAAATCACCAAGAGGTATCAAGTCCCCAGAACCTGGAATCAAGTCCCCTCAAGGAATCAAGTCTCCAGAACCTGGAATCAAGTCCCCACAAGGAATCAAGTCCCCAGAACCTGGAATCAAGTCCCCACAAGGAATCAAGTCCCCAGACAGGGTCAAATCACCTGAACCTGAAGGAATTAAATCTCCACGTGGCGTGAAGTCTCCAGAGCCTGTTGCAGTCAAAAAACCTCTGGGTGTAAAGTCCCCGGAACCCATTGGAGTTAAATCACCAAAGGGTATTAAATCTCCAGAACCGACAGGAATTAAGTCTCCGAGGGCTTTGAAATCACCTGAGCCAACTGGCATTAAATCCCCAAGAGCTCTGAAATCCCCAGAGCCAGAGGGAATCAAGTCACCACCAAGAATGAAGTCTCCTCCTCCTATAATGCCCCCAAAAAGGGTCATGTCTCCACCAACTGTTAAAGCTTCACCCAAGGTACTGAGCCAGGTAGCAGCTGAAGCCTGTGAAGGTTCTGTGAAAATGTCCTGCACATGTGAGAGCAGTGTCAAGGATGCTGTTTGGTACGTCAATGGGAGAAAGATCTCCCACAGCAGCCGCTTTGAGATGCACTACTCTGAAGGTTCCTGCAGCCTTCTCATCCACGATCTGTCGGACAGTGACCAAGGAGAATATGTTTGTGAGATGACGTCAGATGGTGGCGTGTCCAAATCCACCTTTTCCTTTACTGGGCAGGTTTTCCAAGCTATTCTTGTGAAGGTCACAGCATACAAAGAGCAGCAAGTTGCACTAAAAGGTAAACAATATTTATTTATTTTTAGTACTATACAGTTAATATAGATTTATATGTTTAAATTGCTGTCTGTTTTACTGCAGGGTCCATGACAATGAGTCATAAAGAGTTATCATCGGCGATGGCGATGAAAAAGGAAGTTCACATGGTTGAGGAGTCATCATCCTTTTCCTCCACTCAACAGTCCATGATGTCCTCCATGATGGAGTCCAGCTCATTTAGCAGCATGGCAGCAGAGATGAAGTTTGAGACAATGTCAATGTCCAGTATGTCCTCAATGGCTTCAGAGTCATATGCCATGAGCTCAAGCAGTCTTTCAGAAATGACATCACACATGGAAGGATCAATGTTCAGATCAATTGGTAAGACACACTTAACACAGTATATTACACAACATACATGTAGAACAAAAAGCACAGCAATTAACAATGTACTTAATTTACAGGGGGTCCTCCAAAGATTGAGGCTTTGCCAGAAGACATCAGCATTGAGCCAGGGAAAGTTTTGACAGTAGCTTGTGCTTTCTCTGGTGAGGCCAAACACATAGAATGGTCACGCAGTGGAAAAACCATTGAAGTCACGGCTGGAGGACGTTTTCACATTGACACTTCTGAAGACTTGACCACACTTATCATCACTGGTGTGAAGGAGGAAGATGCTGGAACCTACACCCTTAAACTATCCAACGAGCTTGGCTCAGACGCAGCAACTGTTCACATCAGTATTCGATCAGCGTAAAAAAAAAGTTGTTTCCCTTTTCCCCACTTTTGTTCCTTTTTATTTATTGACTAACCAAATTATTAGACCTGAATTTCTCTTCTTGTAAATATGAACTATTTTTGTACCAAACTGGACTTTAGTCTATGCCAAACTAGACTTAGGTCTAAAGTTGTTATAAATGTGCCATATTGGACTTAGGATTTTTGATCCTTTTTTCTGTGACATGTACATAATGTATATAGCCGAATTTAACGGTTATGGGAATGTATGCAATGTAATTTATGACAATCATAACTGAAACTGTATGAAACTAAATGTGGTTTAATAGGAGAAAGTTTCGCATGAAACGAATACCCTGTTACACCAAGAAACTAAACACTGTGCCTCAACAATAAGTTGAAGTCTAAGATTGCCTCAACAGGTAGAGAGGCTCCCTGTTGAAGTTGCCTCAATCCAAGACAAAAAAATCTAAAACTGCAAATAAGAGCAGTGAGCTAAGAGAGTGAGATCCTGAGTGCTGTTTTCATTTACCCTCATGTAAGCAGGACGACTGGACCTCACTCTCTGACAGATCATGTCACACCGTCATTTCGATGACACGCTCACAGTGCAAGCGGCCTGCACTCCCTGAGCCCAAGTTTTGTGCTCACTTTCTGGCAAACGACCATTGGTTGAAGCTCATTGTGTACCATCAACCTGGCAAATGGAGCTATCTGGTGCTTGTTTGCAGAATGTGAGCTGTCTCTCGGAGGTCAGCTGTGTGTTTGTGTGTTAGTTTGTAGAAAATCATCTGTCATTTGAGCAGGGGGGTGAGGAGCTGCCAAGTGCCTAAACCACAGCTGGACGATGGTCCTGCTGTGCCAAAAAGGACCAGCACAGGAAATTGTTGCACACTCCCCTGCTCTTTGGTAATTGATGTTAGCTGTAGCATTTTCTGCTGCCTCCCTGAGTTTGTCATTATTATTTTAATAAAGCATGATTGTCAGCACAACGTTTATCTCAAAGTGTTTTATTTCAAAGGTTGTTGCATTTTAATCATGGGTAGGTAATATTAAATATGGACAACACAACACAATTTATTCTTGTATAGCCCTAAATCACAACAGAAGTCATCTCAGAGGACTTAACAAAACCATTGAAATCACCAACACAAATCAGAGAATCAACAGTTAAAAAACATAAAGAATATAGAACACATGTTGATAAATGTCCATACATGTTGTAGTATGTTAAAGTGTCCTGGATCATCACCACAGTCCTTGTTGGACACTAACTGTCCAACAGACCCTCCTGCATCGGCAAGGAAAAACTTATAAGAAAACCCAGTGGAAAAAAAGTGAGAAACCTTGGGGAGACCCATATTGAGAAAGGGATCCGCTCCTCCGGACGGACGGGCTATAGATCCAGGACCTAAGCTAGCTACAGAACGTGGCCCAGCAGCAGCTGAGCGTGGACAGGTCCGGTGCAGGACTGAAGAACTCCCAGGCGGGTCGGGCAGGGCAGTCCGCAGGTGTAGATGGAGGAGGCCAGGTCCAGAGGTCCCGTCATCGTACCATGGAACAGACAATGGGACAATGGGTGAATAGCAATGAACAGACTACAGTCAAAATCCCAATAATGCTAAACAGATAAAGTAGGAAGGAGAGGATAGTGCTCAAGTTACCATACTTCTCCCAGCAAACTGACTCCCTACGCAGCTTGACTGACAGTCTAAAGAGTTTAGCCTTCCCTGAGTCTTACCTTCCTAGCCATATGCTAAACTAAAGAGGACTGTTTTAGCCTGACCTGGAAGGTAGGGTTGAAGATGCAGCGGACCGGGTCCAACATACGCAGACTCCAAGACCGGACAAAACCTGATCGGACAACAACCTAACCAAATACTAAGTTGAAAAAGAGTGTTTTAAGCCTGGCCTTAAATGTAGAGACAGTATCTGCTTCCTTAACGTGCGTGGGGAGCTGATTCCACAGTAAAGGGGCTTGGTGACTAAATGTTCTGCCACCAACAGTGCTTTTTGAAACCTTAGGGACCACCAGACGTCTGGTGTTTTGCGAGCGCAGGGCTCGGCTTGGTTGATAAGACATTAACATGTCTTGGAGATAAGGGGGAGCCAAGCCATTTATGGCTTTGTGTGCCAAGATATGAATTTTAAACTTTATTCTGTACTCCACAGGAAGCCAGTGGAATGATTTTAACACCGGAGTTATGTGCTACCTCCTTTTGGTACCTGTTAAGATCCTTGCTGCTGTATTCTGAACAAACTGGAAGCTCTTCAAAGAGGTTTTAGGGCACGCTGCCAATAAAGCGTTACAGTAGTCAAGCCTTGAGGTGACAAAGGCATGGATTAGTTTTTCCGCATCACTTTTAGGATGGATATTTCTGATTTTAGCAATGTTCTGCAAGTGGAAATATGCCGTTTTAGTTGCTTGGTTTATATAAGCCTTAAAGGAGAGTTCTTACTGACTCCAAGATTCCTCACAGTGTTACTGGGCACAACACTGACATGATCAAGAGTGATTATCTGGCTGGCGAGGGAGTCACGCAGTCGCTTTGGACCGAGTAGGATCACTTCTGTTTTCTTCGGGTTAAGCAGTAGAAAGTTAAGAGTCATCCACGTTTTAAGGTCCTTTATGCAGGCACTAAGCCTTTTTTTCCACTGATCCGTCGGATTTGGTTTCATCGACAGATAAAGCTGTGTGTCGTCTGCACCAGAGCACGCCGCTACCGGCGTCCTGCACAATTAAATTCGCTAAAAACTGGATATTAAGGAGAGATCCTGGTTCGAAACGACCATTACTTAAGAGTCTCACTACAAGAGAAACTAAAGATGCCAAAACCAAGACGAAAGGACAAGGGAAAGGCGAGCGAGAAGCCAGCGGGAGACACTACGAGCGGAGAGGAAGACTCAGACACTTCCCTTGTTGACATTCTCCTAGAGTTAAAGAGCTTCCGCGCAGAAACCTCCAAAAACTTCTCAGAAATCAAGAAGGAAATTCATGAAATCAAAGAGGATGTGAAGGAATTAAAAGCACGAGTGGGCACTGCGGAAGAGAGGATCGCAGAAAATCAAAGCCGTAACATTGAAATGACCCAAGTGCTCATTCAAGTTTTGCGCAAACAAAAGCTGCTGGAAGAAAAGTGCGATGACATTGAAAGCCGCTCCAGAAGGAAAAATCTGCGCGTCTACTCCGTTCCAGAGAAGGCCGAGGGGAACAGTATGATGGATTTCATCAAGAAACTTCTCAACGAAAAACTGGGAATAGCAGGAGCGCACATAGAAAGAGCACACCGAGCCGCATCGGGGAAGGGAGGACATACGGGATCCATACATCCCAGGTCCATCCTGGCAAGATTCCAAAGCTACGAGGAAAGGCAGCGGGTGCTCCAGGCTGCATGGTCCAAAAAGGAGATACTTCTGAATGAACGCAGGATTTACTTTGATGAGGATTTCACAGCACAGGTCAACAGGGAGCGCGCAAAGTATAGATTGGCACGTAAAGAACTGAGAGAGCGTAATATTAAAACGCGCATCCTGTATCCCGCGAAATTGAAAGTTTTCGCAGCGGACAGGAAGATTCAAGTGTTTGAGAGTCCTGAAGCAGCAGCAAAAGGACTGCAGGAGTTTGGCATTGCTATGGAATGTCCCACCAAAGAGCTAGATTTGGAGTCTATTCTTCAAGCGGCTGGCTGGCAGTCGCCTCGTAGCAAAAGCAGAACCGGGCACGTAGACAACCTGATGCCCAGCCTGAAGAAACTGCTTCAACCAACTTCAGCATCATAAAGCACAACCTGACCAAGGTATGTCTGAAATGAAGTTTGAAAAAATGACAAGGGGGCATGGACACCCGTGGACAGACTCTGAGCGAAGATGACTGAAGAAGATAAAAACTAATATGATCAGGAACTGAATGTGGACTCTCAATTGTACAGTCAGATAAATAATAAATGTAAATATTACATCAGCAATGAGTTGGAAGGCGACATTGTTTCAGATGAAGATTTATCTGTGATTCATTTCAACTGCAGAAGCCTAAGAGCAAACTTCAATATGATTTCTGATTATATAAAAACATTCAATGAACACTTTAAAATTATTGCCCTCTCAGAAGCTTGGTTATAAAGCGACAATGTTGCTGAATTTGATTTGGAGGGATACGAATTACACCACGTGAACAGGGTAAATAAACGAGGAGGGGGCGTGGCCCTGTACGTAAGTCTTGATTTGAAATGCAGAATCGTAAACAGCATGACGACGGCAATCAAGGATCTAATGGAGTGCATTACTGTAGAAAAATATTATTGTGACTTGTGTGTACAGAGCCCCTGGTGCAAACGTGGACACTTTTGCAGAGCGCATGGAGAGCATTCTGGAAAGCTTAAAGGACAACAAAATATATATTGCATGTGGTGACTACAATATTGATTTATTAAATGCAACCAAACATAGACAAACGGAACACTTTCTAGACATAATGTATTGTAAAGGACTCTACCCACTCATCACAAAGCCTACTCGAATAACCATTAATTCTGAAACACTTATTGACAACATATTTACAAACATAATCGAAACGACAGTTAATAGTGGCATCTTGATTAGTGACATAACAGACCACTTACCGATCTTTATGACATACAAAGGTGGTACTGACAATAAAAAAGTTCAAAAGGAGAGACAGCACAGAATAGAAAGAATACGAAATGAAGAAACAATAAATAAATTAAGAAATGACCTACTGAATGAGACATGGAATGAAGTTTATGTACCAGAGGTGAATGCAGCATGTGAAGCCTTTCTAGACCAGTACAAGTGTCTGTATGACAACAACTGCCCAGAACGAATAAGGAAAGTGAAAGAAACACTTAACCTTTTAAGGATCACCCTCCCTGTACAGGGAGGATTCAGTTATTTTTCATTTAACAGCATCAGTATTAGAATTCACTTGTGTCAATATAGTCAAGCTATATCTCTTTTGAAAGCTTATTCCCACCTCTAAACGCGTATTATGTTCAAATAAAC